GAATTTTTCTTTTCGTCTTTTTTTTTTTTTGGAACACCCCGTATATACAAAAGCGGTACATCGACCGTCTGCCTCTTGAGGTGTAGTATTGCGTTCGCCACGTGGCTGAGGATCGCGATCGGGGCCCAGTTTTTTGGAGAGCCCCCCTGCGGAACATCTGCCGCCTTTTAAAATACGCCAGAAGTCGCACACTTTCTCTCCGTCGCAAATCCTTTGTCGAATTTCAAGCGAAATATTCTCTGAGCGGAAGTTTGTAGTTATAACATTATGTCGCGAACACACAGAGCACATAAAAACTGTATTTTACTATTTAATTAATAAATATTTATTATTTGCAGAATAAATAAAGTAAGAAAAAATATAACATGTATGACAACGTATATATTTATGTGTAGTTTATTCTTATTTTTATTCTCTAATCTATTGATTCTGTTTTGTCTGATACATTTAGCGATACATATTTTTTTATCTGAATTTCATATTTTAAAATAATTTTATTGGTCTATCAAAATAATTATATAGGACGCTCAAATACAGCAATACTGTAAAAAGTTTTGTCATTCCATAAGTCACTAACTTCACAGTATTTTAATGATTTGACAAAATGTTTGCATTTAGCTAAATTTTTATATTTATTAATATTTTTCAGCAAAATCGTTTTTTACATTTTTCGAAACATATATTAGAATATTTTTAGATATATTTTTGAATAGATATTTTCCTCTAACGTTGTCTTTATCTGATTTTTAAACTAACTATATATTCTTAACGATTGCAAGGCACGATATTTTCATATGATGCACATATGTGCCGCAGAAAAACCCAGTACAAAAAACATTAACGTGTTATGAATGATTACACCTGGTATTTATAACCACGTTAATAATGCTGTTAAAGCGATCGGCGAATGAAATCCACCACGGAATGAAATATTCAGATTCGGGAGGACTAGAAAGAGAACTCTTTCGCTCCTCCTCTTTCGTCTGACAAATTAATTTATTTATTGATCGCTCACCAAATTGCGATCTATTTTCCTTTTGTTCGGTGTGAGAGAGGTATCGTAGCCGGTAAAATAAAATCGATCCGATATCGAGCCGACATCCAAGTCGCAGACATGCATGAGTCGTTTTGGGCCTTATGCACTTTTTCTTAGTACATCCGATCGCATAACAACGGGAAATAACGTAACACTGAGTAAAGCCTCCACGAGTACCTTCAAACAGAGGCCTAAAGTGAAGCCTAAAGCTGAAAATTTTTGGTTTTACTTTCTTGTTATTTTTCTTACAATATAACATGTATGATAAGCACGAAGATTAGAGCACGTACGACTTCATGACAAAGGCTATATTATCGCTCGCGATATCGTTTGCAAAAGATTGCGGACAATCGTTCGCTATATTTATTTCTGTCGGACAAAAAGACCGCCGGCTACGATGATACTTTTGAAAGTTCTCAAGCAGCAGGTGAATCACTCGCGAGATTTCGTTCGACGACCTCGCCGCACAAAGGCCTTCTTGAAATAACGAAGAAATCCGCCGACGAAGTAACGAGACACGAAAAGCAGCGCATCCCAGTTAGATCACAACGGTCGGTCGTTAACTTCGTTATCGGCCGCTAAACTGATCAACGTCTCGAGAAAGCTCATTATATATTTATGAAATCGCTGCAAGTCTGGGAGAGTAAAGAAAATTGGATCCGCATATGCTTTGAGTAAATCTCGCTATGAATCTATGTAAAGAGATATGTTCATCAATCTAAAGACTAATCTTTAATTAAGATTGTGGAACGATTTTGTTGAAGTATCTACAGCTAGATACAGATTTGAAAAATAATTTTGTTTGTACCATTGAAGCTGTATAATGCAGAACGCTTAAACTGGTTCCAAAAATGTTAAAACTTCGGCGCATCGAAGCACATTTTTCTAAGCATTCTTATCTTAATGATCCAATGACAAAATATTTTCTGATTTGTATATCTAGCTAAATTTTTTAATACTTTAGCCAAATTATTCTTTCCATCAACAGATTTAATTCTTTCGATAGTTCATTCTTTCACTCTTCGAAGTATCTTCTTTTCAGCAACAATTCGTGACAGACAGAACGTAATTCGTAATTTCATAATTCGTAATTCCGACGTAATACGTTCTCTCGTGAATTGGCTTTGCTTTCACGAACATTTTGTGCCAATTACGTGCTCTACGCTCGAGATCCGTCTTCTATCGGCAGTTTATTTTTTCACTTAAAACAGACACGCCTCTTTTCGGCAATACCGTCCCTCCTCTTCCCTCAGCTTCCGGTGAGACGAAGTCCACCGGCGAGTGCGTGGTATGTGCGCGCATAGAAGCGGGTCCCTGTCGTCGGGTCGTCGGGATTTCGAATGAATAAACATTGTCTAAACCGCGACAGTGGGTCCCCGGGGGGGCGCGTCGTGCCCCCGCCCTCCTCTCACCACCCAGTGCATCATTTCACGGTCGTTCCGCTCCAAAATTCGTGACTCCACTTCCGCCTACTACGCTCAGCGCACTCCCGCGGCAGCGGGTGCGTTGACCCTTTTCGAAGGTCGTCGTACCTTTCTACGTTCGTGACTCGCTCGGCTTCGTGGATCGACCTTAATCTCTCGCCGGTTCGCGACGGCTCGTTCACCTCTTTTTTTTCCCCCCTCTCTTTCCCTCCCTTTCCCTCCGGCTATTCGAAGAAGCTCGATGATGTAATTACCGTTCTCATACGCTAATTTTCGCAGGTGAATCGAATCGAAAATGCTCGTCAAACAATCTTTAGGAAAACCCGCGTCAATGGTGATTAATACGAGAACTTTTGTCGAAAATTTTGTGTCATGGAAATATTAATTACTTTATCTTTCTTCTATGGAGTTTAATCCTTTATTTGTAGACTGTTATTTTTTTTTTGACTTGTGCGAAAATCGAAATTGTATCAGAGTGTCGTCAAGTAATTAGAATTTAATTAATTAATTTATGTATATTTAATAAAGGCAATAACGTTCAATATTTTGAAATACTATTTATTTCAGCTTTCAGACTTCCATACTTTGCAAATATCATTATACGTAAATAAATTAAATCGTAATACAAGGACATTATTAATGGAGATATTAATTATAATCGACCTCAGTCTTTATCTTTTTTGCTTTCATTATTATTATTATTGTTACGTGATGCGTGTTATTTTGTTCTTTGCACACTTTGTGCCAACTTTTTTATGCTCTTATGAAAGATTTAATCTCAAGATAAATATATTTATACTTATCTACTTGTACATTATATACATTTTCTTCATTGAATTAAAAATTTGGCAAAAATGTCGGGACTTCCGCTATTTTTTCCTCCTTCGATTCGACTATCGCGAAATCATAGCGATGGCGCAACGAATATATCTGACCGGTCGGACATACACGTGAATGGGACTTGAAGAGACGACACTCGAGATAATGGGCCCGTTTTGGCCGCTCATCGACAGCCTCGTTTATTTTGTCGAGTCCCGGTCCATAAATGTGTCGTGCAAATCTACACGAGAGCCAGCCGTCTCGTGCGAACGAATCGATTTAGCGTGCCATAATGAAGTTAACGATTTCGACCTGATTAGTACGAGAGATTTGTCATTCTCGTCTATCTTATATAAAATCTTATATAAAACCGGTATAAAGCACGAACGTTCGAAATAAACAGCCGCTAAAAATAATTGATCTCAGTAATACAATGTATAACAATTAACTTATAATAACAGTAATAATAAATCATCAAAATTAACGGTAGTTATTGCATATAACAATAAATCGTAAAATTGCCAATTGCTCTATAAAATTTAGGAAAATATCCGCAATTCCATTCCTTTATTTGATTTCTACTTTGTTGAAATTTTATCAATTCAACGTAATTGTATACATCGATTTTTATTTATAGAAATTTATATTTCCACTTAAATCTATATTTACATTTATCTGTGTCGTGTGCTATTTTCTATATTGATACGCGAGTGTGAGCATCGCAAATCGCGGAATCGTTTTCACTCTCGCCCTCTTTTCTTTCTCCTTCGAAAACGGGGAATTACTTTATTGTCTGGGCACACGACTGAAAATGGGATTTCGGCAGCATCAGATGCGCTTTTTATATATATATATATATTAGAGAAAACACACACACACACACACACACCTCCCTTCGAATCTCGTGAATCGGAATCGTCGGTTTTGCGGTAACGACAACACTCAACAATGAAATCGAACCTGTAGCCGTAAATGGACTAATTGCTGGGATAATAATTATTCTGGGATCTCTGGCCTAGGGCTGGCAGAGGCCGATGCAAGGGAAGAGGGGTTTAGATCATCGTTCGCTTGTGTTTCCGGGGTTATTATCGACGCAAGTTTCTGGACATTATTTAGCTGATTATTTGCCAATGTATATTCCCTCGAGTCTCTTCTCTTAAATTCAAATCGAATTTTATTGATTTTTCCATTTTATTTTCTTTTAATTTCGAATCGTATTTATAATTGAAATATACAATGATATCTGAATGCTTTAACTTTAAACGTAACTCGAGCTTCTTCCTCTTCTCGCTTTGTATTTTCATATAATTCTTTATGAGCTTTAAAATATTTTATTATACGTATCATAAAGAGTAGATAAATGAAGTAGTTGATTGTATATAAACAAATGTATGTGAAAAGTAGGAAAATAAAGAGAGGAAGTAAAATAATAAAATGAAGTAAATATGACGAAGCAAAAGAAAAGGAAAGTGATTTATTGTCTGAAATAACTGTAGTTGTTGGCTATAATGATTATAACGAGATACCTATCCAATCACTTTTTTCTCGTATAAATACGTAACGATATTAATAAACGTAATACAATAATTACTGAAATATATTTGATCACTGCAATAATTATTACGATAAATATTATTATATGTTTCAATAGTCGTAAAAATGCTCTTTTCTGATAATAGAAAAGTTTAGGTTTTACTATAAACACTTTGCAGTATTTCAAGATGATTCCCAAGTAGAATAAATTATGATAACGATAAAATGACGTCAAAATTTACGTCATCGTGACTTGTTGTTCTGCTTGGCATCGCTCTATTATTATATTGATAGTAATTTATAATATTACAATTCTAGCTTGTTAATTTAGGATTGCGTTTCAAGTCCAACAGTGATCAGTGAATAATTTACAAAACTGATAAATGTGTTTAAAATTTACATAGAACTATCTTTGAGCACTAAAATTTACTTTGAACAAGGCTTCTTTCGCTTATTTGTGTTATTGACATATTTCTTTCTTCTGAAAATATATTATTTTTAGTTACATTGATTGTTGACAAGATATAAGAATGTATTTGTAAATTTTGGTGTTGTTTCTATGATTTCCAGGGCTGTCACGGATCCGAGGGATGGTAGGAGAGTAGCCTTAAAAAAACTGCCGAATGTCTTTCAAAGTCTTGTAAGCAGCAAGCGAGTCTTCAGGGAGCTGAAAATGCTTTGCTTCTTCAAACACGATAACGTGAGTAATATTATTGCGTTAAACATGTGTATGTGATTGATGAACAAACACAGAAAAAGACAGAAAAATTCCGATAGAAACTAGCACGAAAATAAAAAAAAGTTTGTAATTCTGTCGATAATAAATGAAGTCGATATCGAATTCATTTATTACTTAGCTTTCAAATATTTTATATTTTATAATGATTGTTTATCATACCTTATAATTATTATAATAATTATCTGTAATTTCCTGAAAAATTTTTATTAACATTTTTTTAAATAGAAAATTTATAACATTCAAGAACTTAATATATGTTATTTAAATATATGTTACTGTTTTATGACATTTTATAAAAATTATTTAATAGTTACTGTTGTGATAATAAAGTATGATAGCTGTTTTGTTTTATACACCTCATTGTAAACAAACATACTGTTTGGCATATATTTTTTTACATTGAATACCTGGACGAACATTTAAGATGGATTGTATATAAATTGCATGATGAGATCTCGGAAATTTCCGCGTTTTATTTCCTCGGGGACGAGGCTGTGTTGTCCTCCCCCTCGTAGTCTTTGCCTGCTGGATTCTACTTTTTATATGAAAAAAGCTGGATCAATCGCTCTCTTTCTATATTTCGGCCAGTCAAAGGACGGGGCACTCAATCTCTTCCTGTCTCTTTTGCAGGTCCTTTCCGCGCTGGATATCCTTCAGCCGCCGCATCTGGACTTCTTCCAAGAGATGTATCCTTTTCTAAACGTTTGTACTCAAGGACACACTGAAGATAAATCTTAGCATTGAGATTTCCGGATAGGTGAATTCTCCTTTCGACGGTCGAGGTATTTTCTTTTTTTTTTTTTATCCCTCTTGCTGTTCTCTCACGGTTTTCTCGAACCTCGGAATTGTGATCGAGACAAATGCGATAATTTCCCGAAGTAAAACTAATTCGATTTGAATCTAATTAATTTTCTCGATTTTAATCTAAAGTTTTCGAATTGTCTTTAGCCTCCGGTGTGTTTGCGATGTTTCGATAGGGCGTCTCGGAAGTATTTCCAGTCTCCGCGGATTTTCCTGGATTCTCGTGAAAGAGTGTCACTCTCTCACGCAACGCTCGATCTCTCGGAATGAGTGTCTTGAAACGACACGGAAAACTTTTAATCGCCAAACAATTAAAACTCGCGCAGGTCACGAACACGATTCTCTTCCAGTCGCTTTCCAGAAAAATTCTTAGAAAAGATAGAACTCCTCCATCTTCTATTATTATTATTGGAAAAATTCTATTTTCTAATCCGTACGTAAAAAAAAAAAAAATCTCTCTTTATTTTTCTCTGTTTATTATTTTCTTATATCAATGAGATTTCGGAAAAAATTAATGAAGGATTTAAAAAAGGTTGTTTCTGTAAAGGAAGCTTTTCGCTAAAATAAAATATCACGTTAATACTTGAAAATTATATTTCTCGAAAAGTCATTCTATGAGAAAAACTCGTCCTTCGTAAAAGTAGTAGATATTACGAGATAATTTTCCGGTCGACAGCAAAGCAGGAAGTTATTTCAGCAGCCAGGACAAAGTTCTTACGGGATTACTTTACTCGACTCTGCGTCGAGCGTTATTCAGCATGGTCGCATGATCGATCGATCAATGAATCCTTAAATGAACGGGATCTTTCGAGTTAATTTCGATCGACGTAGCGTGAGCGATAAATCAGTTCTCTCACGCACGTGTTCTTTTTCCTCCTCCTCTCCTATCTTCTTTTTCCAGTAAAGTCCTGTTCGTTCTCTGTCTCGCGTCTTGAGGCCCGCTGGACTTCTTTCTTGTTTAAGTTACCCAGTTGATGCATCCTTTTTTATTTTTCCTTTTCTCCTATTCTTCTTTTATTTTCTTTTGCTTAAGCTGGTCCTGACCTTTCATGATTGTGATAAGATCTGTAAAATATTTCATAGACGCGCACTTTTTTATAGAGCTTCGGCATTGACAAGAGAAAGAATAGCTAGATAATAAATATAAATGAAATAAACTAAAATAAATTGGATTACTCCTAGAGTTGGCTAGTCACTACATAGGCGTGTTGTGCACGTAATTAAATAGATAAATCCGTGAATAAACAAGTGGATAACCGTAATAAATGATACCATAAATCCATCAATCAACAGACAAACGAATGA